TATATATATATATATATATATATATATAGGAGGGTTCAAATGACAACGGTATAACTTATATTAAGTGTTACACCGCTCAATGACTTTATATTTAATGTGAATTTTGAAAATCCAACCGTTAGATTAAAAATTCATATCTCTTAGATCATATATATAAAATTTTATATTAATTTAAGATGATTTGATACTTCATTCTCATAAAACAAAATTGATGTAATATATACATTTCAAAATATATTAAAATATGAACACTTTGATTACCTTCAAGTTGTTGTTCAATTTTAACAAAATTTGACATATATGATCTAAGAGATATGAACTTTCAATCTAACGGTTGAATTTTCAAAATTCATATTTAATATAAAGTTATTGAGCGGTAACCCTTAATAAAAGTTACATCAGTATCGTTTAAACCCTCCTCATATATATATATATAAGTGCAAAATTTATTGTTATTGAAAAATTAATTACTTCTTTAATATGATAATCTAAATATTTTGAGATAATGATATTTTAAAAAATATTTATTCTTAAAGAAAAAATATGAAAATAATAAATTAATTATGATTGAAAGATAGTTAATGGAGGGTTTAATGTTGGAAAGAGGCCACGTGTGTTTTTATTTTGCCCCCTTAAGAGATACTGCTGCCAGCTGTGAGAGTGTGCGACTATATTGCTGCCGCTATCATCTTCCCCTTCTCCCACTCTCCATCGTTTTAGGGTTTGCACATTTCCCCTTTATCTCTTCATTCCTTCATCTTAAATTCTTTTTCTTCTCTCTCTTTTTTAATCTATACTCTTTTCTTTTTTCTCAACCAACTTACAGAATATCGCGATTTTCGTTTCGCCAATTCCAACAGAATCGTACGGAATATTGCTCCTTGTTTTCCTGTAAGAAGTCTATACGATCTAGTCTTAGCACAATCTTCATTTTGGAGATGGAAGATGAGCATGATCTTTAGTAACCAATGTCTTTGCAGGAACAGTTTTGACACTAATGTATGAGGCTTTGTTGTTCTTTCCATTTGTCATGGAGCTGAGATGAGTGCGTGGCATCGTGTATCTTAGTAGTACTTGCTAATAGACTATAACATGTACATTTCTGGTACTCAAAAAAACATTGCCCGACACACACACACAAAACTATTGGCTTCATGAGTTGATGCAATCTAAGGGTCTTACTATTTATTTTATTTTTTTTTAAGAAACAAGGATATGAAAATATAATCAATATTTATGTTAAACGATATCATTTATCCTGTGATTACATATGTATGTGCACGTGTCTTAATTTTTTAAATATATAGCTAAATACCACTTTGTAAATTTGTGATGATGAGCAACAGCCCAGTAAGGTGAGACAACCTCTAATATCTCTGGATTTTTTTGTGATTTCTTCCACTAATATATAGAGTCTCAGTCTCCTCTACTCATTTTCCCAACAACTACAACATAAAGAATTGGCTAGAAAATAGCGTCTGGGTGATTAACAAATGGATGCTTAAATTCCTTTTTGTTTAATACCTGATGTTTCTCAAAGAAGAATTACATTTCAATGGTTCTCAAGAACACAATTATCTTTTCTGCTTCTGCATTGAAGTAGGACCCTATGAGCCCACCTGCATTTTCTACTTATCTGGATCTGTTATGATTAGTGTTTAATTTACCAATTGCTATTGATTGTTAAAGTTAAGAGCCTAGCATTTTGTCTGTAACTGACATTACGAGGATTCCACTTTAACTTGTGCTCATATCAATAAAGGCAATAGGCATAGGTGATTATGAAACATGATTGAGATTCAATTTTGATGTTTATCTTCAGGAATTGATATGGTTGCCATGTGGGTATATTAGTTATGTTTTTATGGGTTTGTATCGTAACAAAGTCCTCAGACTTTGCTCTAGTGTGCATTATCTTCGAGCAATTTATGAATATATGAACTCTTCTGGACCTTTAAATGAGAATGACAACCCAAATTCCACAACGACTTTCTGGTATGCTTATATGGCCTTTTTATTTTGTTTGCCCCGGGCAGGAGTTTGTGTATATCCCCAAGTTTTTGAAACACCGTGTTCTGATATTTTGGTTGTTAATTTATCAAACAAATTTTAAGGTGTCTTTGGTGATTTATGACATTTCAGATTGACATACAATTAGAAACCGGAGAATACTTTTTGAGTAACAAAAGGAAATCGGCGAAGATATGGCAAGAGAAGCAGGAGAAGCAGGCTGAAAAAACTGCTGAAAACAAAAGAAAAAGAGAAGAGGCCTTTATCCCACCCAAGGTTTATATCAATCTTTCTTTTGCAATTTTCTCAACTATTAATAATTTATGACGTGCATATTATTTTATAGTTTTCTTCATGGTGTGTTGTAAAACTTCACTCTTTTTAGGAGCCTGCAAACCTGGTGGATAAATCTGAGGACACTAACAATAATGTTGCTGACATGGCAAATTCTTTAAAGGTAATAAGTTTCTACCGGAATTTTATTAGGACTTTCTTTTTTGGCTTGTCCAGTTAAAATTGTAAACTTGGTGTTTTCTCTTAAATAAATCATCTCACTTGGATTCAAAATGGCTCGTCCGCAGAAAAAAGCTAAGAAGTTTGGGAAGGGTAAATCTGAAGAAAATATAAATGCGGAGACATATTATAGGATCATCAGAACAAGCATCGGGAAGGAAATCTAAAAAGCAAAAGTCTTAGCACAATCTTCATTTTGGAGATGGAAGATGAGCATGATCTTTTGTAACCAATGTCTTTGCAGGAACAGTTTTGACCAAGAAGGGTGTTACTTTTGCCTGCATCAACAGTGCCAGCGAAGGGAAAGGTGGTCTTTCTACATTTGCCTTGAAGTTCAAGGACGGGTCCATAGTGGAGGAGTTTAAAGCCGCTGTCATGGCACATAAGGGCGAGACACCGACATCGACATCGACAGTTCTCAAGACCCCTGAAAATTCTCCAAAGGCTTCTGATGATTGAGAAATTATCGTGAGATGTTCCTTCACAAAGAGATAATTTACTATTCCGGGTTCGTTTGCCCTTGTGTGGCAAGTCTATCATACTTAATTAGTGTACTTGAATTTGAGTCAAGTCTCCCAAGTGATAACGGAACTTAATTTTGGATTTAGACTACACAGTTTTAGCTCTTGAACTCTGCAACGTTCAAAGCTGCTGTTATTTCTTGATCCTGGAATTTTGTCAAATTTCAAAATGACATATTGAACTTTGCTGTTGTGATGTTACCGTGACTAAATCACTTAATATTAGTCGTGAACTTTTCAACACTATTCACTTATATGGTAGTCGCTTCATTTTATGTCTTGCGTTTTTTCTGTTGGTTTTTCATTCATATCAATATGAATTGAGTTGGCTGGCTGAGTTAGAAGCCTCCTATCAAGAGGGGCTACACCTAAATTCTTTTAAAGGAAAAAGTTTTATATTGGTTAAGAATCAGGCCAGAAGATAGTTCATAAATACTTTTTTCGTTCTATGTCTTCTTTGGTATTGCGGAAATTGAATAAAAGGGGAAGAAAGGGCACATATGGTGTGGAAATAGCATGGAATACCTATAATCATCGCTGGGAACTACTGACAATCTTTCGCCAAAAATGTGGCATATTGCTTAGGAACTGACGTCACAGACAGTTCATAAATGTTTTTTTTCCCTTATCTATTGAAGCGTCCTTTTCTTTGGTTGGTACTTGGTAGTGATTTTCGATTTGATTAATTTTAATTAGTTCGAATTGTTTCAGATCTTTAATTTATTTTAGTTTTCAACCTGAAGTTATATGATTGATTTGAATTGAAATCCATGGATTTATAGTTAAAATGATAAATTATATTAAATAGTTTGTAAAATACTTGTACTTGTATTTCGATGAGTAACACACAATAAGGAGATTCTAATATCTGAACGAATTTTTTTATTAAAACTTAAACTTCACTTTTAGAAGCACGTACTCCTCCGAGGGTAGATTGAGACGTGGACACGATTAATTATTCAAATTATTTTTAATTAGGTTTTGTTCTAATCTTTTTAGAGTGTGTTTGGGAGGTATGAGTTAGAGTGAATTAGAAGCGAAGAAGGATGATTTGTAGAGAATTGAAAAAAGTTAAGTTGTTTGGGGGGAATGATTTGTGAGAATTTGAAGTAAATAGTGATGGATCCCATGAAAAAAAAAAATCTAAAGAAAGGAGATTTGTTAGGAACTTAAGAAAAAAATGTTTATACATTAGTTATTTTTTTTCTTCTTATTTTATTAAATAATGATTGGATATAATAAAAATATAATTTTAAATTATTAATTTTTTCTCTAACATTTTTTTAACCTAATTCTAATATATTGAACAACTATAAATTTTATTCTATTTTTTATTAAATTAATTTTCATTTATTCTCTCGTATTCTTTTCAATTCTTCTTCCTCTCCCAAACAAAACATTAATAGTGCGTTTGGATGAAGAATTTAAATGAAGTAATTCATTTATATGAAGAATTTCAAATTCTTTAAGGTGAAATACCTTGTTTGGATGGAGAATTTATAAACAATTTGAAATTCAAGCATTTGTAAAATTTCTTGAAATAGTAGAATTTGAAATTTTCCAAAAAAGTAAGAATTTGAAATTCCTCATATCTTTTTCTTCTTATTTCACTTATATATTTTATCTTATCTCTTACCTCTTCATGTTTTTAATTATTAAATATTTAAAAATATTTTTAAAATTATTAAATATTATCTAATATTAAATTTTAAATTTATTAAATATTTATTAAATATTTAAAAATTAGTTAATATTTATTTTTATAAAATTTAATTCAAAAATTTTAACATATAAATATATTTTTAAAATCAATTTTACCATGGTAGAAATCAAATTATTATATCTAACTTAATAATTTAAAATTTAAGAAATTTGAATTGACTTATCCAAACAAAATATTTTAAGAATGATAGAAATTAAAATCAAAGTAACTCAAATACCAAGAATTTAAAATTCCTTGAATTTGAAAAATTTCTCATCTAAACACACCATAAAAGTCATTACTTATTTAGTAGTTTAACAAATGTACTTTTTATTTGTTTATGCATTTATAGCATAATATTTTACTACTCAAACTGTGTTATATACTTATTATCAATATATAATAGACTTTATTATGACAAGGATTTTTATTTATGTAGTTATCTTTTTTTATTAGAGATTATAATCTATAATAGAATGAAAATAATGTCTTGAAAATAATTTTAGACCATAAAAATATTATCACATCTCACTGTCCTAATAATAATAATAAAATGATATTTATTTAATTAGATAAGTTGATTTGGTTCAGTTTCAGTAAATTGAAATTTTATATTTGAAGCAAACTGAGAGAATTTACATTTTAGAAACCTTATGTGGAGACTAAGAAATAAAAGTGGCTAGAGTTTTCTTTTAGTGTTAATTTTTATAACAAAAAAGTTTTATATTGTTTAAGAAGGTCAAAGATTGTTCAAAAATACCTTTCTTGCTTAATCTATGGAGACATCTTTTATGTCTCGTTTGGCATCATGGGAATTAGATGGGAGGAGAAAAAAAGTGCTTAAGAGCATTCTAGTTATACCATATTGAGAAATGGGACCGCATAAATTGAATAGTATTTCTTCTATTGATAGAAAAATCAGAGAGAGCTACAAAATGGTTTTACAACTTGTATATATAGATGAAAACAAAAAATAAAAATATGGACAATATAACAGACAATATAATGGACAATATAACAGGTAGGCTAAATAGCCAATACCCCCTCAAGTTGGCAAATAGATATTGAAAGAAGCCAACTTGCTGTTGAATTTTTTGAAGAGTGGTTGTGAGAGCGCTTTTGCAAACATATCAGCAATTTGGTCTTCTGCCTTATCATGTATCAATTTGATACATCCTTCTTCAACTAGCTCTCTGATATAGTGGTGATCAATATCAATGTGTTTGGATCTTTCATGTAGTCCTGGGTTTGTTGCCAAAGAAATGGCAAATTTGTTATCACAGAGCAACATAGCGGAGGAAATATGTACTTCAAAGTGTGTAAGAAGTCTTTGTAGCCAAATCAGCTCACTGGATGCAGTAGAAATATATTTGTATTAAGCCTCAGTGGATGATTTTGACACTGTGTTTTGTCTTTTGGACCTCCAAGAAATTAAGGATTCACCTAGAAAAATGGCAAATCCTGTTGTCAATCTTCTGGTATTGAGGCATCCTGCCCAATCTGCATCGCTGTAAACAGTCAAGTTAAGATTTGAATCAGAATGGAATAAAATACCTTGTCCAGGTGTTCCTTTTAGATACTGCAATAGATGATGAACTGTCTTAAGGTGAGGACTTCTCGGACTTTGCATGAATTGACTTAGCTTATGGACAGTGTATGTTATATCAGGGCGCGAAATGGTAAGATACAAAAGTTTTACGATAAGCCTTATGTATAGAGATTGATTCCCTTTATACTTCTAGCTATCTCCAAACCTAGGAAGTATTTGAGGTCCCCAAGCACTTTTAGCTTGAAATGTTTTTGTAAAGAAACCTGTACTTGATGGATCCTTGAAGTATTGGGACCTGCGATGATGATATCATCAACATAGACAATTAAAATGACAAGGTTAGGACCATTACCACAAGTAAATAATGAGTAATCATGTCTAGATTGTGTAAAGCCTAGACACTTGAGTGTGGAGGAAAACTTGTTGAACCATTGTCTGCTTACTTGCCTTAAACCGTATAACGACCTCTTTAACTTGCAAACAAGGTGTTTTTCTGATGTGGGGTATCCTGGAGGCAGCGTCATGTATAATTCTTCATGTAGGTCGCTGTTAAGTCTCAATTATACCTCTTTCTGAATGAGACTTATTGAACAATTCTACTCATTCTTTGCACCATTGCAAGAAAATTATAACCTTTTTGATTCATCTTTTGTGCAGATATAACTAACTCATATTTAGCTAACAATACCTTAATACACCTCATTTTTTATGCAGGTATTGAGCTAGAGATTTGAGGATTGAAGATCCTTTAGATTGGAAACTTAAGGAGCTAAGGAGCAGAGCAGACTAGATACGTCGGGCGCAAGATGACCCGCGCATGGCTTGAGAAGAACAGAGCGTCCCACCTCTGCAAGTCACACCTGCGCCGGGCGAGAGACTACCCTCGCCGGGCGTGATCGAGGCAGAGAGTACCTCAAATCTCTCTGGAATGTATTGCGCCAGGCGTAATAGGGAATTGCGCCAGGCTTGGTCTGAGACAGAGAATACTTGACCTCACTAGAAGGCTCTGCGCCGGGCGCAAAACCCTAATATGACTTCCCAAGCTCATATTTGAAGTCATTTTCGAGGGTTTTTCCCTCATTCACATAGGGGCGAGTTTTAGGAGTTGTGGAAGGAATTCCCGGAGCTTGGAGCCGTTCGTGTGTGGGTCTTTCCTTCGGTTTCTTCATTTCTCTCTTCATCTCTATTTTGTATTTACCCTCATTGTTGAGTGGTTCTACCCATTTTTGTGGGGTTAGATGTAACCAACGAATTCTAGTGTAATTCTCACGTTTTCAATGATATACATATGTTGTTCATTCATTGTTGTGTTGTTGCTATTCTTAATGCTTGCCTTGGATTGATTCTCCTTGCATGATATAGGTTCCATGGGTATTGGAAAATAATCTTTGAAACTAGCTCTGAAACAAATGCCTAGTGGAAAATGTATCTAGGAATGGAGCTTGGCCCATTAGTAGTCTTAAACCTTAGCCCGTAATGC